GTTGTACTCTCATCAGAACAACATATCTGTGACTCACATTAACCCTACAAACTTTACCATTGGGAAGGTTGGATCCCCATAAGTTGGGCCGTGATCTCCCAAACTCCTGGGGTCTGTCTACTCGACTCGATTGTAAGGCTTCGCCTCTTATTTTTATTTAGATTCTTTATTTCTTATTGCTTTAAGGTTCAGCCAAATAGAATGAAAGAAATACAATTAGTGTACAGATTCCTTTAATTAAGACGAACTCAGAACATAAAATTTAAAATGCAACCTAGAGAAACATACCTTTCAAACAGATCCTCTCTAATCACCCCATTAGTTAAGTGCTTTCCCAGATCTACAACATGGAATCTGTTTGCAGTCAAAGTGAGAAGCGCTTTGTTGTAGTTTGACCAGAAGTAATGAGCTCTGCCATTGTCTCCATCTTTAGGGCAAAGTATCTTTGGGAGAGGTGGCACAGTAGTCACCACAGCACGGCAACAAGCTTTCACCTCCATGGACAAGGTTGTGCGAAGCGCATTGCACAAACCTCTGGCCTTCCTTAGAAGCTGCCTTGCCTGGAGAGAAAATGATGGATTAATTTAAGCATTATAAAAACAATCTCTAATACTGTTTGTTGCTTGTTGCAGATAAAAATATACCTTGCTGGGTTCTGCAGCACACATCTCCAAGACATCGTTTGTGCCAATCAACACCAGAACATCATAGAGAGAGTTGTCGGGCATATCATTCAGAAGCTGAAGTAGTCGAGTGATGGTCTACCAGAGCCGCATAGCCCAGCCGTCCTGGGGTATGGGATCCTTGATATGCCCCGTGGAAGCTTGGCTCTTGCCAACAAGAAGCGCAGTCCTTGACTATCACCAGCCACTGCCATGCCACGAACTTGAGGAGAAGGAGAAATCACATTCACTCTCACCGGGCAATCTTGGAATGCAGCAAGGATTCTGGGCAGAACGTCTTCAAATTTAAGTAAGTCCAACCCACAGCCTATTTGAGGCATTGAAAGTTCTGTCACACCCAGCGACAAGCTCAATTCCCTCAGATGGAAAGGGCAACTTAAAACAGAACTCAATGAAACAACTCTCTCCCAGTAATTTTTCTTCGTAATGAGGTAAAATATGTAGGTCTCCTTGTGTTTCAGGTATGCAACCTCACCGACTCTTCTTCCCTGGGCCAGCAGCTCATCCACACGGCCAAAGTATTCTTTGAATCCAACAGCGACTCCAGCACCCATGTGGAACTCTTCGCTTACTGAAAAATCACGAGGTCTTGGCTACATCAACATTGGCTTAAGTAGGCAAGGCAGCCTACCGGCCGATCACCGACGGAATTTCGACGTTCTCACGCCAAATTTCACATGAGGTACCATAAACAACAAACCAAACTTGAAATACAAACCGCTGATGAAAACTCTTGATGAAATATCCACAAAATACCGGGAGCGACACGATCTGCGACCAGACGAGCGAGACGACAGCAACACAACAAGCCTACGTTTGGCTGCAGCCGACGCCGCCGCACAGGTACTGCTGCCAACCTCACGAGCACGACAGGTGGCCACCGGGGCAAAATAATTAAAATGCGTAATTTTCTTTTTGTTGGTGAATGTGTTATTGTAGAATAGTGTACTCATGAGGGAAACGAGAATACTTTGTGGTACTTAATCTTAAAACTAAACATACGGGGGGAAACCGTCACCAGTTTCTCGTCTTAGGTTGCCGACCCTTGTGCACGGCTTCGTCGGGGCCGGCCTATCCTAGTCGGACCTCTGTCTCTCGTCCTCTGTGGCCCCGCTCCTCCCCGCGCCCGACGATTTTTGTTCTTCTCCTTCCGGTGAAGTCGAGACCCGGAGTCCCCTATTACTCGAAAGCGATTATTACGGTGAGAAAGAAAAGCATCGATATAACGGCGAATGGACGTCGAAGTTTCCAAAACTTGTGGATTTAGGGAGCAAGTCGACGTTTCTTCCACTAGTTCGGCGTCAAATCGACATCGACTTGACATAGGACATCAGATCAGAGAAAACAATTTACTTTATTTTAAAATTCTTGTTACTTTACCTGGCACTGACAGATAAGAGCTGGTCACTAGTGTCGGAACATTGGACTCGAACATGCACTCGGGCAGTCACATCGAGGAAAGGCGCTGAGGGCTGTAAGAGACGTACTCGATTTGATGTCAGGGCGTATGCGGCTAGTGCCACGTCTGTCAGACCACTCTGCAGCCGTCCAAGACTACCTTAAAGAAACGGAAATCCAAAAACAAAAGTCTACTATTGTCTGCCGAAGGACTAATAAATCTTTTAAGGCCACTCAAAAGTGAAAACGTGATCACGAAAACCAATGGGGTGGAA